GTATTCACCCTAGGGCGGCTAACTTGTAAAACGGGTTGGTTAGAACTCATTGTGAGGAGGTTTGTAAGAGTTGGTGCTTCCTGCAGAAATTGCACCGCGTAGATAGAATGAGGATGATATAGAGCCCCAAATTGCTCGCTTCCCAACTTGTTGAAGAATGTACATCTGAGCTGTAGGTTCCGTTGCCACCGGCAGGCAAGAGTGAAATCTGGGTGTGGCAACAGCAAAACAATATCCATATGACTTCTTCGATCTCACACGCATAGGCGCAATCGCCTGCGCGACTCTTGGACTGCATACCTTGACCGAAAGTACGACTCATAAATTCAACTTTGAGGAATGACGCGCCCCCTGACTTTTGAACAAAAATACGCGCACGGAGGAGTCAATTTATAGAAGGATGGACATTGACATGTGAGGCGTCTCAAAGCGAAACATGAACAGACCGTTGAGTACAGACAACAATCCACCTGAGGCAGTGGAATCAATGGTAAGCGCAAGTTATCTGTTTCACTCCGCAGGCGCCCTTCACGAGAGTAGACAAGTTAGGCGGAACCGCGTAAAATGTAGATCCGCACGACGGGAAAGGCCCGACACCGGAGTAGCCAGAGGCGCATTGGAAACCTCATCCACGTCAACAAGGGGAGCTTCGCACTTGAGTGGGCAGCGCGACCATAGAGGTGTGGTGGGGAAAAGGCTAACCTACTCCAACCGCGAATTCGAGAGATCCAATTATCTAGCTGAGGTGTGGCGACTGTCTCCCAACGTTTGTCGAGAACGATTCCCTCTCTCATATTGGCGTCGCAATGCGGACAAAGGGAATACGTATAATCACGCACAGAGTGCAAAGAAGAGAATCGATTCGCCACTAGCTGGTGGCACCAGCTGGTGGGGTTCCGATTGCTGTAAGAAGCTCTCTTGCCTAGTAACCAAGATGCCTCAACCCGGGGGGGGTATTGTGGCGATCACCTTCACGAAGGGTCAATCTCCGAAAGTCTGTCGGGGACGATTCACTCTTTCACAGAGTGGCTTGGTGGATTTTGGTTGTGTTCATTCACACCCACCCGACATCAACGGACGAGCTCTGAGGAGGACCCACCGCAATAGCGTCGACAAGAGACGAATACAGCCATTGAACGACAGGAATCTTGGCATTTTCGTACCAGGAGAGTTGGCACCGGGGCTGACATTGAGACAATCGATGCGGTCGTGGCGCCGACGGGAACTAACAGAGAAGTCATTTCTTGTCCGTTCTTTCGTCACATGTGCCGACATCTGAGCACGAGGGGAGGAGAAAATTTGTACAAGAGAATCATTTTCACAGTAACCACACCAAGTGGTAGATCAGATCGGATCGGTTTGTCATGTGAACACGACAACAACAAACATCCACAGCGACGACACAGAGCCGGGACAGGCGAGTACGACCACTAGCTGTGCTGTTGATCATCAGAAGGAGGGAACATCGCACGCAGCACCGGGAATATGGAGCTATGTAATACGAATGAAACGAAGCTACAGTTCTGCTGAAAGTAGGAATAGTTCCTAGTTATCCCAAACATTTATCTGTGGAAAAGAGTGAATTTGTTGTGAAATTTGGAAGAAAACAAATGAGTGCGAAGCAAGAGCAATCACACCAAGCAACAAGTGAAACACAGGTCAGGTCTCCTAGCGGCGGACTTCAAGCTTGTGGTACACTGCGACATAGCAAGCTACGTGCATGAGCGAATCAAATCACCATTATCAGAAGATTCAAAGGTTCCCTGGTATCTACGCTGTAGCGTATGCAAATAAAAATATCAAGCATGAAGTGTGAGGACACTCTGCGGTCAGTGGAGGCCGATTGGTAAAACACATATAATCTACAACGACCAATTTTTGAAGTGAATCGTCTTCCTTGGAGATCGAAATGGATCAGGTTACAATTGCGACAGCAACGATCAGCATTCATTGTAGTAACATCAACCGGAACAACACCAGATAGATGCTGAACCACGCATACATCCTGGCCGACAACAGATAGCGTCTCGGCTAAACTAATGGCTGAAGACGACGAGTGAAAAACGAATGAAGAACAAGACATCTGCACACCATTCTAGAGAAGAAAGATTGTGGGAAGTTACAGTAGTGGGGGATAATGTGTACAGAAATGGTAGTGGGGGGAAATGTATACAGAAATGACTATCTCGCGTAGAGAGGTCCCGGTCAGGATACCAAGTGATGTTTGCGGTTCGGTGGGGTCTAGACTATGTACAAGGTGTTCATGTGAGCCACCATGGCAGTCGGTGGGTGCTGTGCAATAGGTAAAGGAATACCTTACAACAGGTAGCTCTGACTCTCTCTCATGAGGAGGCGACATGAACATTGAGATGAACATCGCGCCCCCCCGCTCCCCGTAGAATGTACACGAACATATTGTCACTACAGAGTAGTCTACAAGACATAGGGAGAGCGGTTTCAGTGGTCAACGGTTCCGAGGATATACTTTAGAACAGGCACCGAACAACTGTTTGTTCACTGACTGTGGACAAGTAGTACATGACTCGGGACATCTACTTTTGTCGTGAACAGCTGAAGACACCCACGAAGTAGCACGAGCACCAATCAACGGGCAGGTTGGACTGTAGCGCGCGTGAGTGTTCATGTATCATTCAAGAGTGCCGATGCGTCACCAAGCCCATGGTTGTCGCAGCTGGTTGGCTGCACATTTTTCGCCGAAAGAGTTTCCGCGTTTCCGCACATTTCAACGTCCGCACACACACCCATGTATATGTGGTACATTTCAGGAGAACGCGAGAATGATATGGGACCTCATCCGCCTTCTATGAAGAGCACGCCAACACCGACAGATATGTCCCCACGGCATCAGCATGGGCCAGACAGCACCAAACTGGGAGAGGCTCACAACAACAAAATATTTCGCGTGCGTTCTTTCCACTGCTCCCCAAAGAACCTCCTCCAACGGATATTAATATTGTTCTACCGGCATGACACTTGGCGAAAGCGGCCGAGAGGAAGAACTTGGTTGATTCACAGTAGGCATTTATGGGAGAAGCTATTAATAGGAGGACGTGGTGGCCATAAAATCGCGTGACCAAGGATGCCTTTCGTTGATGTGCTTGGCAGTCGTCGTATTGATCCTAAACAAGTAAAGCACGATGTTTGGGTAGATGGTAACAGGACACATGACCCTTTCGTGAGTGTGTTCTCTGCGGATCAGAAGTGAAATTTCGGCGGCGGACTTCGGCAACGCACGTGATGGCAGAGTTGCAGAGTTTGTCTCTCCGCAACGAACCAAACATGCAAAAGCCGACTGGTACAAATATGCATGCATCTGATTGCTGATCGGGATTGACGTGTAAGAAGAACAAATTTACTTCCGACAACACGCCCTACCGCGCCACGCATACCCACATTCCCTAATGTATCCCTCTCCATGTTGAAGGACGACTGCTGTAACAGCAAGTAAGGTATGTAGTATCCAAGACTGACTGATTGTGATCATCATCCTCTTTTTGGGCGGTCTTGCAGATTCAGCAAAAAAAGGAGGTTGAGGTTGCAGGTGAAACTATAAACGCGTTGGCCCGCTCCCATCTCCTTGTTGCTGTTTGGTAAGCCATGAAGCCACGCGTATTTCTCACCAAGGCTGCCTAGCCGACCGCCACATGCTCACGAAATTTGCTCCGCTCCGCCCGTGTTGGTTCTACCTCGCGAACCTACGATTGGGCAAGTCGCGACGTTCGGCATCTCTTCTACAGCAGTATCTACATATGCATATATGCATAGATGTTAGATTAGATACGCATACACGACGACAGCAGTCCAGTGTGAAAACAGTGTGGAACGGGACAGCTGCACCTCGTCGCGATGAGCACTACTGCTGCGGCTGCTGTATGTAGTTAGGCAAGCACCGCAGGATGAGGAGAAGGTAGACCTAAACAAACCTCAATGAAAACTAAGATAGCTTCGGTGTGACCCCGACGGGCACGAAAATCGACACCGACTGAAGGGGGCTGGCGAGCGTGCATGTATGGGACGAACACACAGGTACTCTGTAGAGGCTAGTTGATGGACTCTGTGCAAGACTTCGAAAACCCAACGCAATCAAACAAAACTGGTATGCGCAAACAATCCTACCTTTGATTTCCCTCTCGCTTCCTACGTCGTCTTTCGACCAGATCTGGAAGCTGCAGGTTGTGGATGTGGCAAGTGAACGCGCGAGGAGCACACACGCCTTTACTCAATTTTTCTAAACGTGACGATTTGCTGCTGTGTGGTCTGGAATAAATTAGACCGAATAACTTATAAAATGGTCCGTTCATTCGGGTTCATTCACATACTCAGATGTGCGGTATGGCCGAAGATCCGCATAGAATGGTTGAACAATGTTCCTCGCATCCTTAATTGTACAATATTGTACTGAGATATGCAGGCACTAAGCCAGGTATTCAATTCTCTACGCGCGTTGTAATCATAATCATCTACAGTGAGCCAAGAGGTACCCCCGAGCCCCACCTTATTCCCGCTTCCCCCCCCTTTCCTTCCCCCTTCAAGAGAGAGGCAGAGGGGAGGGTGGTGGGAGTCTGCCAACGGATGCGGTGGAATCTCGCACATGTAAATATTCGGCCTCTTTCAAAGAGACGATTGTCGTTGCAGGCGTGCGTCCGAAAGCTTTTGCCTGTTGTCTTTGTAGAGACTCGCTCTGCTCGGCCACGGCGGGAACATCGGCGTTCATGTGGGCATTTCGTCAGTCTAGAAAGTCACGAATACAGCATCATTTCACGAAAGAGCCCGGTCAAACTAGACGTTCTCCAGCAGCAGCGGTGTTATTCCAGTCATGATATTCGGTGCGATGTCAGTAATCACAATCTTGCTGTTCTCACCGACAAAAGCAGCCGACACGCCTAGACGGTTCTGCGTACATACACGCCTCCCAAAAAAAGACTGCTGTTTATCCGCCATGCATCGTGTTCTCGTAAACCGCCGCTGGTCACGCGGGCGGAGTGCTGGCGCATAGTAGAAGACAAAGAAAATGCTCCCAAGTACTCTAAGAATAAGAAGTAAGAAACTAACCGAGGCTCAATCCTGATCCACGCAGCGATGACAAAGCTACAGACATCGACCAGCCTCGAAGCGGAGACGCGTGCCCATCTTGCATACGTAGGGGTTGAAAAAGAAAAAAAGAGACACAGGAATATCAGCAACAAAAAGTCAGGGCCTCTCCTTGTCGGGAAGGCGTGGGAAAAACAAACGTCCAACCTGACAGAACTTCTTGGCATATTGGTGTTTGCCTGTGGAGGCTCAAAATATTTCACAGCGACATCGACACGACTGCAAAATGGTCTCAACCCATCGCAGCTAGCTCGAAGGATGATGAAGATACATGCTGTAGGCTATACCTAACGCCCTCCTGCCCCCCATACGTAGTAACATCGACGCTTCAGCCGTGTGCCATAAATCGGGTTTCATTGGCCATTTTCACCGAAACTCCCAACCTGAATTCCAATCATTCCCACCCGCCGTTCTGCATCACAACATTGGCCTCAATCACGAACTGCCGTTTCCCAAACCGATGGAAGCAATAACCACCGCGTCATAAATTTGCCCTCCGACGCGCGGAGGAATAAACCCAGAGGAACAAAGTCGAGCGGCAGAGAGGACCGATCGCACCACCACCCCGCTGCATCGGGCGCACTTTTGCAGCAAGCAAAGGTGCTCCCGGTCGGCACAAAAAGTAAAACCTACGATCTCCTGGGGTCGCAATGTGATACCGTCCGTGGGTGCCCCCCCCCCCCCAGCCTACCACTCATTCGCCCGTTTCTAGCCAGTTCTAGGATGCAACAATTTCCCACAGGAGAGCGCGAAACCACGGCGAACACGGTTCTTTGACTCTGCCGGGTAAACCCCCCGCCCCCACGTATTTTCAAGCACAGATAATTATGCGGTGAGAGAAAACAAGGACGAGTGCCCGCCCCCTCCCCGGCAAAAATAAATGAATCACAACTCCATCGTGTGGGGCGAGTTGGGGGAATGGGGAGACGCGCCGGAGGCGGAGGCGGGAGACGGGGCGGAGCGGGGGGAAGAGTTGGAGTGGAGAGAGGCCGGGGACGGCGGGGCCGACTTCGGCGTCGCGGGGGACCCGCTGGCGCTGTCCATCCCGAGCGCGTGCGCCTCTCTGGCCGCCACCGCGGTGGCCTGCCGGTGCTGCAGCTTGAGGCCGTCCACCTCCATGTACAGCTGCGCCACCTGGAGCTTGGCCGAAATCAACTGCTGGTTCAGCTCCTCCTTCTCGCGTTCCACCTATAGACAGGGGGGGGGGGGTACGTGGTGTTTTGTGTACCGGTAGCAAGATAAAAACTGCGTGCATCGGATGCAACAACCCCCTGCAGAACACAAACGCGTCATCATTTTTATGAAGAAAGAATGAGAACATCCAAAGGGGGCGTGGTACTAATGGCCAACCACGGTATGTGATCATGGGCTTTGCGGGCTACATTCCGCCGCACCCGATGCTATAGTGGGGTACACACCACGCGGTGCGGTATCTCTAGTCACCTACAGTCTGTTGAGCTACGCACACGATGCTGTAGCGGGGTACACACCACATGGTGCGCCATCTCCAGTCACCTACAGTCTGTTGAGCTACGCACACGATGCTGTAGCGGGGTACACACCACATGGTGCGCCATCTCCAGTCACCTACCGTCTGTTGTGCTGCCATGCATGCCACACACGATAGTATCGCGGGGTTTTCCCGAGGACGATTTTGTGGTCCCCTCTTTTCTCTTGTGGGGGCCTTCCGAATTGAGCGTGTGCGCGTGTGTGTGCGTATGCGGCATTGATGCACATGACGACACCGAGACTTACTCCTGCTGGCTGCTACGCTGCTGCCCTACCACTACAGCATTACTGCTACGATGATGACGACAACAGCGCACCTGCACCGCCAGGCTGTTGGCCTTGTCGGACTGTCGCATATTCTCCTCCGACAGACGCTCCACCTGAGCCTCAAGAGACTTTATCCTCTTCGCCCCGGGAGGGGGCACTTCCCCGTCTTCGAATTCGCTCAACTGTATGCGGGGAGCGCGAACGAAAGGATAGGATGGGGTGAGCCGAGGTCTCCTATGACAAAGAGCGGCCGCTGGACATCCAACGACGCTGTTGCCCCTTTTCCCCGAGTGAAATGACAAATTTGGTACAGAGATGAAAAGAGAGTGTTGGAAGGTATCACCGCGCACAAGTAAACACACGGCCAAGCAGGGGCAAGACTCGGCCCCACGAGATGCCGCTCGCTGAGTTCTGTGTGCATAAAAATGGGAGCTCGAGGGGTGAGCCAACGCCGAGTAAGCGCGAGACACCAATACCTAAAACGACGCCCTTTCCCAGTGACCCACCCAAGCATGGCAACTTCCCCGCCTGACGCAATAGTCAACCCGCAGACACACGCACACGCAAGCACCAACAGCATCAGCAACGTCTGTAAAACGCCTAAACCAAAGTCAACAGGACAAAAAGAGATACAGTCGCCATCAAACACAGCCAGTGTCCAAACAAGAACACGATACAATGCAAAAACGCATGAAACGTTACAAAACAAAGAAAACTGTTCAAACACAACACGCTCGCGTTTTTGTTGGACAACAAGTGTTGGCTTGAAGCGTTTCTGCAAAAACGCATGAAACGTTACAAAACAAATAAAACTGTTCAAACACAGCACGCTCGCGTTTTTGTTGGACAACAAGTGTTGGCTTGAAGCGTTTCATGTGTCGTTGTGCCAGAAAAACAAAACTTCTTGCGTTAAACATGTCACTCGTACTCGTAAAAACACCGGGCCGACCAACCTGATCGCGTAGCTTGTCACAGTCGCGCCTCAGCCGCAGCACCTCCTCCTCGGATCCGGCCTCCCCGCTAGTCAAGTCGTCGGCGCCGCCGCCCCTGCGGGCGGCTTCTCCCACGCCGCCCGCCCGTCGGAGGTCGTTGAGGGCGGCGTCCCTCTCGGCGGACACGTTGTTCAACATTGCGTGTACGTCATCCAGCTGCGGTTTCGTTTTATTCCCATCGGAAGCAGCAGCAGCAGCAGCAGCAGCAGCAGCAGCAGAACGGGAAGGGGCAGCAGAATTGATCGACACGACGTGGGACAAGCTGTCAGTTGTCTGGAGACAATCGCAGGAGGAATGTTTGTCCTGTTCGGGATCGCGGTGCAAGGCCGTGAGCCTCGGTGCTGCGTAGCTTCCGAGCGGTAGTCGCAGCAGGCGCAGAAGGCGAATGATCCATCGATCGAGAAAAAAAAAAAAAGAATTCAAAAGTACGAACGAGAGAAACTGAGGGACGAATCTACTTAAGATACATCCAGCGCATCGCGCGTGACGTTGCCAACAATGATCAACCACGACCGAGAGAAAGGGTGGTTTCAAGACACACGCATGAACGCATGGATGATCAAAATCGGAAGATGCAGACGGACTAACAGACCCGCGCCGTTCGGCCGGTTTCATGGAAGCGCAAAGTGAGCGAAAACGCCGACGCGCACCCTGGTGCATCATTCAACTTCGTGACGTATGTCCTGCTATCCGCTGCTGTTGCTGATACACACGCCAATATCGGTCGTAGGTGTTCCTGCTGTGTAGGTGCACCATCCGTAGTGGTAGTACAAGTGGTCCCTCCGGAGTGGGCTCATGAAAGCACAGCAGTGTAACAAGGGGAGGTGTACATAGGACGAGAGGAAACGCAGGCAGCATGCCCAACTCACAGCCGACGGCGCGAAGTTTCCCACGCTCACACACACACACACAGCTGACGTGTTTTCGATCCCACTCGAACAGCCCAGCGCACCAAGAAGAGCAAACAATCTAATTTGTTTTGTTGTGCTGGCTGCTGGGCCTTGCGAACCATTAACCCACCTCCGCCTGCATCGTCTCTATCTTGGCAGGCAAGTCTTCCCCATTCGCCGCCGCCGCTGAAGATCCTCCTAGGGCCGCGTCCCTCTCGGCAGACACATTGTCCAACATGGCGTGCATGTCGTCCAGCTGTTCAATTTTGCCCAACACAACCAGCAGACAGATGCACGCACAGGGTTACCGTAGACGCACGCACCAACCGAAACAGTTCACACGCGCACCGGTGCAACGCTCAACAAGGATGCACGGTGGAGGATGGAGGCACACACAAGGATTAGATACACGCACGAAATGAGGCATCCACAATCAGTCGGGCGCGGCTATAAAGGTGTGCTGTTGTCTACTGTCCCTCTCTACGACTCTCAATTTCACTCTCATTTTCATTCTGTCTCTTGTGCCAATCATAAAGGACAAGGTAGCTCAAAGATACTTCAGCCGGATGAAACCAAAACGGACCCCAAGCTTAACACCTATGTGCATTCATGTGACACCACGAAAGAGGGTGGGAGTGAAACTAAGAGTGACAGTGAACATGCATACGAGATCGACAACGAGGGTGACAGCGACTGAGAGTGAAAGTGCCAGTGAGGGGCGAGTGAAAGTGTCAGTGAGGGGTGAGGGGAGACTGAAAGTGCCAGTGAAGGGTCGAGGGAAAGTGCCAGTGAAGGGGAGACTGAAAGTGAGAGTGGGGGTGAAATTGAGAGTGAGAGTTACAGTGCCAGTAAAGGGGAGTTTGAGAGTGAGAGTGAGAGTGAGAGTGACCAAGACAAGAGGACGACAGCGAAGGAACAACAACAACAACAACAACACGAGACAACATCCGAGGGAAAATCATCGCAGACAAAAAAAACATTGCACCCACCTCCGCTTGCAACGTCGCGACCTTCGCCGACAGATCCTCCCCCCCGTTGGCCTCCGCCTCCGCGGCAGCCGCTCCACCCTCGGCTTCCCCGTCCCCTACCAACGACCTCGCGGCACCACCTTCCGCGGTGTACCCGGAGTCGTGATGCAAGCCGCCCGTGTTGGCGGTCCCGTTGGGAGGGGAGGACGTTGACGACGCAAGAACCTTCGCCTCCAGCTACTCGAAAAAAAAAAAAAAAGAGACAACAAAAAGAAAGAAAAAAAATTGGAATTACATTCCTTAGCCGCGAGGCCCGATTCAATTTGTACGCCAGGCTGTTGGAGCGACCGCGGCCAAAAGGCAACACCCATTAATTGTGTCCCCCTATCATACAGTACATTTCAACATGCGCAATACCGTAGTGATATAGCCAGAGAGCGGTATCCGTTCTTGACGATACCAAGCACAACGCGTCGGCTATAGAGACTACGCCCCCTCTCATTAGTATCGGCTGAATAACGTACGGCCGCTTGCCCTTGGTACATGCAGTATTGTAGACGTGCGAATGCCAGCCGAGTGCGGTTCATCTCACTGGGGCATCTTCTTGCACAGATTCGCTCCTGCTCTTAAATCCCGGCGCAACCTTGCTCCACTGCTGTCGAACTCACCTACAAAAAACTACAAGCAGGCTGTCAGACGGAACAAATGTCAACCCTTCTGTTCTAAACTCATGCCACCACGTCGCCGGCGTGCAAACTATGATGTAACGCCCAAGTCCCAAGAACGACAAAAGAAGTCGAGGGCGCTACTGTGTTGCGAATAATTTCGTGCACTGTCAAGTTCCTCGGCAAAATCACCAAAGACACTCTCCCGCCTGCATCTATAAGCAGGCCCGCACGACTCACCTCTTCGATCTTCTCGTCCTTCCCGGCAAGCTCGTCCTGCGCCTGCACCATCACAAAAAACGTTTCGGTTGGTGGATGGTTCGGGTTAATTCAACAAGGGGCGAAGGATTACCCCGCAACAAAGCAAGGAACGCGGGCAGAAAGGAACAAGCAAGCACTTCGACAAGGAGTGGAAACGCTGCACCCCGTGTGTCACCCAGCATGACCGCACGGGACCCCCTCTTCACACAATGCACCACCACCACCACCACCCGCACTCTGCGGGACCCCCCCCCCCCCTCGCCCACCCCGGTGGCATCCATCTCCAGAGGGAAGGCAAGCACTTCAACAAGGAGTGGGAGCGCTGCACCCCGTGTCACCAAGCCCGAGCGTACGGGACCCCTTTCTTTACACCATCCACCACGTCCCACCAGCATTCTGCACCCCCCCCCACCCCCCCTCCCCTCCCCGGTGTTTGCCATCGGGGTTTGGGTTTTCGTCGCTTGGCAACGACGTTGTAAAACAAGCCGCCCCCCCCGGTGTTTGCCATCGGGGTTTGGGTTTTCGTCGCTTGGCAACGACGTTGTAAAACAAGCCCCCCACTCGGTGTTTGCCATCGGGATTGGGTTTTCGTCGCTTGGCAACGACGTTGTAAAACAAGCCCCCCACTCGGTGTTTGCCATCGGGATTGGGTTTTCGTCGCTTGGCAACGACGTTGTAAAACAAGCCAATTCACTTCGTGAACTCGGCAACCAGGTTACCGTTTTTTTTTTTTTGCGGTAACCATAATGGTGGTCGAGTAGATCATGTTGTGCGGGGTCGAGAAACCTCACTCCGCGCAACGGGGGATGATCGCACCACGTTGTGTTAAAATGGTCAAGCTTCCTCGAGGCAGTTACACAGTGCTTACAACTGTCTCTGGAAGTGAAAGCACCAGAAAATAAATTAAGTCATACGTAGCTGTCATCCGTACGCAAGGAAGTAAGCACAAGATGCCGAACACCCTTAGCAGGATGCAGCTCACCCTTCATGCGACTCGCCAAATACCTCACGGCGCTTCGCGCTTGGTGATGTGAGAGCCTGGTCCGGTGAGAACCCGGCGTGCTCCGTCCCGGCTTTGTAGGGATGCGAGGTCAATGGTCAAACGACTACGGCATGCACGACTGTGAGTATGAGTATGAGTATGAGTACACCCCCCCCCCACCCCCCCACCCCGTGGCATCCATCTCCTCTCACCGCTTGCTTCGCCGCTTCGGCCTCCTTGAGAAGGCTCATCATCTCCAGCAGCTGGTCCTTCGTCCCCTCCTGCACGTGCAAGACAGCAGCCGTGCAGGCGGCACCACGTCCAAAACGCAAGCCAGAAGCACAAGCGCGTGTTAAGGTCAACGTCGAGTCCGGGATGGTCGGCGGAACGAACCGAATCGGTGTTTTCGAATCTCTTCGGTCGAGCTGGTCACGGCGGCAGCCGGGAGCTTGGTTTTCGATCGGTGGGTCGAATGGGGCGGATGGGCTCGGGAGTTTGGCCGGCCAGTACTGTTGTCGGCCATCGCAGCAACACACGCGTTTTCTCTCTCTCTCTTTCTCTCTCTCCACGTGGAATCAGCCAAACCAGGTGCACATTCTGTTCAAATGAGACATTGGTGGACGACCTTTGTCGCCCCCCGCCCCCCCCTCTGCTCTGTCCCACCCCGCAAGAGCGATATCAGGATGGCACATGCCCAATATACGGAGATAGGTGACAGCACCATCATCCATTCTATGCATACAGTACGCCCAGTACCGATGACGTCCGATCCATTCGAGCGCACGGCACAGGGACATCGGCAACACACACGAGGGTTCGAGCACACCGTAAGCAGTGCTCGCAAACGCTTTACCTCGTCTGCATGGTCGTCTTGTTTCGCGGCAGACATGGACGCCGCCGCCGATTCTGACTTCTCTAGCGCCTAGAAAAATGGGGGACAAAAACATAGGGGCAAAAAAAATAAGAGGAGCAACACAAGCACACACAACGGCCAACACCAAAGTCAGTCCCAGATTGGACAAAGTGTCTGAATCGTTATCGTTGTCCCTCCCCGGGATTTTACCGCTCTTGTCGCACGTGTGTCCAAAAGGCATCCCAGTCACCACCTGACCTGGAGACAGGGGGAGGGATGGAGGGCTTCCCTTCCCCTCCCAGCTTGCGCAACCTCGGCACGCGAGGGCACGCGTGCATTGCCACGCAACACGCAACATCATCGACAAGGTGATGAGAGAAACAGCCCCCGTCGCCTCGATGTGCCCTGAATGTCTCCAGCACGCACAAACGCACGCAAGCTGCTCTGTAGCCGCATGGGGCAAGATTCCTCACCCCTAACAACTCAAGCAGGGAGGATCCTTCGGAGACTACCGCAGTTGGTCGACAGGGACAAGACAAACGACAAATATATTCTGGCTGGTTTTGAACCTTGACCCAGATTGCGGTGCTCAACATCATCGAGCCTCGACCAGTCGTACATACAACCCCTTTCGCGTTGAACCTGCAACAGACCCTCACTCGCGTTCTTGACACGTCACACGTGTAAATAGTGTAAATATCAACAGAGTGTGAAATGTACGAACATTGGTGGACTGACTGTGTGAATCGACGCTCCCTTTCTTGCCTCTGCCTCTGTCCGGCTGTGTACAAGCAATTGTCCCAATAGAGTGAGTGCCGACATGTGCCCAGAGGTTTGACCGGCACGATACCGAACACCGGCACTAGTGAGAACAGGGATATATAGGTTTTAGCATAGGAGCGAACACTCGTGCCAACAGAGACGCGACCGGCACCTGCACTGGGCACCGGCGCACTGTTCAACTAGCACCATATCGGGACAGCTACTGTTACCCCCCCCCCCCACCCGTCCTTCCGTATTTTCTCCTACCCGCTGAGACTCCGACAGCTCCGTTGCCAACTTCTCCGCGCGAGCCTCGGACGCAGCCGCCTGTTTACCACAGCAATCGAGCGGAACCCAGGTGCAGCGTGAACCATGAGAGACTGCGTGCAATAGCTCGTGATGGAAGGCGACAACTCCTCGATTTCCTACCGTAAACGAATCTGCTACGGCGTCCGCTCCAAGGCACCAGAACCAACACAGAATAACACCAGACCACACGTAGAATACACCAACGACAGCAGCAGCAGCAATAACAGCCACCAAGAATCAGTACAACGACCACCACCACCAGCAACAACAACCAATCGGACCTCCATTCAACCCCGACCCTCTTCAACACCGACACCAACAAACACACCGACCAAACACCGCCCGCCCCCACCTTCTCCTCCGCCTCCTTGCGGATGGCCTGCGCCTCCACCGCCTGCTGGCGCACGGCCGCAAGCTTCTCCTGGTCCTTGCCCTTAGCCTCCTCGTCCGCCAACCCCTTCTCCTTGCCCGCTTGCTGCTCCTGCACAGCCTTCCTCGCGAGGTTCTCGGCCTCCTCCACCTTCCGCCCCGCGTCCTCCAGCCGCCGCTCCGAGTCTGCTACCTGTGTGAGGACAGCGAGAGAGAGAGAGAGAGAGAGAGAGAGAGAGAGAGAGAGAGAGAGAGAGAGAGAGAGAGAGAGAGAGAGAGAGAGAGAGAGAGAGAGAGAGAGAGAGAGAGAGCCGTCGCCGCGGTGAAGCAAGAATCGTTTGGCTCTCCGCATGTTGTGCACAGGGCTTTCGATGCGAGGAGTTGAGCGACCGCGGTAGTATCGTCAAGCCCGTCGTTGTCAGGAGAGAGGACCCACCGTCACCGCCACCGCCACCGCCACCGCCGCCGCGAAGAAAATATCGTTGAGCACATTGTAGCGATTACGGCGCAGAGTTCGTTCCAAGAGCGCTCAAAAGCGGAGAAGCCAAGTTTTCTCGAGCTAGAAACAGGACCGTGGTATATTTCTCATCTGGGACAGTTCCTTAGAGACGAAACGCACACAAACACCGCGTGTCTAACTCGCTTGCTACGGGCTGTGGAATTGAGGAACTGACCACCGTGTCCTCCAGACCAGTACACAATCGGTTGCGTGTCAATGTGTAATTGTGGACACGGGCGTGTTTGTACTTGTTGGGAATGTGTCGCCGCGGAGCAAGGATCGTGTGGCTCCTCGTATGTTACGTGCGTGCTGTCGATGTCAGACACTGAGCGACCGTGGTAGTGTCCTTGCGGGTCCTACTTGTGAATACGCGGTGTTTGAAAGTCGACTGAGCGCATCCTTTTACATGACTGCGTGACAATGTGTGACTGTTGCAAACACGCTTCTTTCATTGCCGTCAACCGGTTACGTACAACGGGCTGACCAATCAAAAACAACATGTCCGTCTCGGCAGAGGACAAAAAAAATAACAAAAAAAACATCTCTTGTGCGTTTAGCAGCAGGTGACAAGCAACGAACACGGTACGTGTAGGGCCGCTTGCGCCGAACAATTCAAGTACGCACTACCCAGGTAGTTATTGAGACGTTTTTTGCGTGGCTACTCAGATGGAAGGTGGGGTGGCAGCTGACCAGCCAGCTCTAACTTGCCCTCCGAGTGCTGTCGAAGATTTTTGTGCTGAAGAGGCTTGTAGGCCTTCTTGATGTGACCCCGTTTCTATTGGAGCAGGAGTATGTAAGATGAGGAAGCGAGGGAGACTGCAACAGACACACTCGCGTGGGAAGGAGACGACAAAACGCTCCTCTACTGTACCTGTCAAAAACACACGAGCGGGTTGTGTTTCCAAACATTCTTAACTCAAGGTAAATTACGTTAAAATTTCGTTAACCTTGCTTTTGCGCAGGAGATACTGAGGAGAAACAAAACAACAACGTCGACGGAATTGGGAGCTCAGAGGATCGTCAGGCAACACCAGGACACCGTCCACGACAACGCGTACCCCCCGTCCCCCTCCAACTAAAAAAAAAACGCAATCTTTCCACCTTTTCTTCCAGGGCCTTGACCCGCACCCCGTGCTCCTCCGCCTGCTGCCGAGAGGCCGCGAGCTCCTGCTCCTGCCCTTCCATCTGCTGCTGCACGGCCGCGAGCTTGTGCTCCAGGTCTGCCGCCTTCTTTCGCGCCGAGGACAGCTCCCCCTCTTGCTCCGACGCCGACTCCGCCTGGTGTTCTCGGAGAGCGGCCAACTCGTCCCTGTGCCGGAGGCAAAAAAAAACAAAGGGGAAGGGAAACAACACACAAAGGGGGACGGGAGGGGTACCGGCCGCGCCTCCGTTATCGTCAAGAGGTTCGTGATTGAATCCACAGCAGCGTCAAGGGAAGAAGCGCAGAAGAAGGAGCTCTTCGGGCTCCCCCCTCCACCCCATTACACTCCACGCCGCTTCCCGCTCCTCCTGCCACCACACACCCGGACGAATGGCATACGCCATCATGTTCGCCCCCCGCCCCCCCGCCTTCCAAAAAACACACCTCAAGGAATTGGCTTCCTCCGTCGCTTTCGCCGTTTGCGCGTCCGCAATAGCTACTCCTTCCCGCGCCGCGCCGGCCTTCAGCTCCGCCTCGTCCCGCATGGCGTCTATTTCCTGCGAAATAAGCAAACCAAACAGACGGACGGACAGGCAGGGACCCACACTCACACGTACGAACATTGCGTTCCCGTATTGTGTGTCCCGCGAACCACATGCATAGCAAGAGGTATACGCAAGGGGTACGAAACCCTCAAAGACAACAGAGGCACTTATCTTCTTGGTTTGGTTTACAGTTTCATAAATCCTTGCAGTTGCTGCGAAAGAGAGAGCGGCGATTGGGGAGCTCCGTAGGAAACAGATTTCACAGAAAAGGGAACACAACACAACTCGCCTGGACGACCCTGAGAGTAGTGGGATAGGTCAACTGGTGCAAAAAATGATTAACACACATCCATTACAATGGCTAGAAAATACAAACTTGCCTCGCGAGCCGTCCGTAGGTCAGTCTGAAGCGTGGTGAGCTGCCCCTCTGCCGTCTCAGCCCTCTCCTCCGCCTCCGTCAGGCTGACGTCGGGTCACGAGAGAGAGAGAGAGAGAGAGAGAGAGAGAGAGAGAGAGAGAGAGAGAGAGAGAGAGAGAGAGAGAGAAAGAGAGCACCAGACAGAGAAAGAGCACGTCCAGAAGCAAAAGAGTGGGATCGACAGACGTGGGCCGGTGGGCATTAAGCCACGCCTAACAGCCGCATCTACACGACGAGGTAGCGAACCAACACCATCGCTTCCGGACTAGCAGCACGCTCCTCGAGATCCTTGCGGTCGCAACCGTGCTAGAGAGGCGGCGGAAACTCTACAACCGCACCACGGAAAACCACAGCAGCGTCATACAGCAACGCGAACAAGGCAGCTAGACAGGGCCAACAACCCCGCCATAGACACAACACGCGGTCACCAACCCCCACCTCGACGGCCAAACCGAAGACGCCGCCACCGCCACCAGCAACAACAACACCAAATCAAGTATTCTCACCACCATCAACAACAAGAACAACAACAACACCAATCAAGGTCACTGTCACCACAAATCAATAATATGACAACGTTGAGGTATTCTCTCCCTCACCGTCACCACCACCACCGATCAATAATAACAAAAACACAAAAAACCCGGTACCTGCCGACACAACACCAATCGCCCCTGAACCCAACCACCACCGCACGCACGTCGTCAGCAAACACCCGCCACTCACGACTTCGCAGCAACCTCCAGCTTCGCGGTGGCGGCGGCGGCCGCCTCCTTATCCTTGGCGGGCGAGGCTGACGGGGCCAGCCGGTCCAGCTCGTCGCCGAGCTTGTGGTTCTGTGCCTCCAGCCGGGCGGCCTCGGCCTTCATCTCCTCGGTGCTCGCCAAGAGCGCCTGCCACTCCGTTATCTTGGCCTGGTGCGTATATTTTTTTCAATGTGGATCGCTCGAGGGTAGTTCTTACGTTTAAAATTGTTCGTGCGGGTTGTAATGGTAGAGCTACATTTTACGGGAATTTTATTAACTTGGTAGCAGAGGCATAAAGAGTACACGTACAAGTCATACGCCATTCACTTCTGTCGAACACCCAAGCGTTGGAGGGGTGACTCTCTGCGTCCGACAGAAAACACACCCGGGAAACCCGTGCACAGAAGACACCCCTGCATCTATTAGGATACAAGCATAGCATACCCCATCTCCACACGGCAGCAACAGCAGTGGCTGGGGTGCTGTAGATGAGAGCCTCGCAATCTGCTACGAACGTGTGGAGACGTGTGTCTTGTGTCTGTCTGTCTCCCTTTCTCTCGGTCAAAGCTACCGTACTGTACCTCCTTCTCCGCGATGACCTCCGCCTTCTCTCGCTCGAGGTCAGCAAGAACCTTCCTCAGCTCCGCCGCCTCTGTACCCATCGACTCTTTGTCCTGTTAAACAGCAGATTCCAGAGGCGAAAATAAGCAACAAAAAAAAACAGCTCGTTTCCCAAATCTTCATGACCAGGAGGGTTCGGGAAAGAGAGCGAGGGAGCGTGCAGCCGCTAGGGCATTTTGTCTTCTTCGTAAGTTGACGTTGTCGTGGGCAGCGTCATTCCGCTCTGACTATTTGCACCGGGGGGCGGGCATCCTTCACTCAGAGTCCAGCTCAAGTAGAAATATACAGCCAGGTTACACTTAACCGTATGACACAACAAAAAAACAGTGACATAGGATAAACACAATACTTGTAGTCATCACGAGGAAAAAGAAAAAAGGGCCATGCCTTCTAGCTCTAGGTTTCTTGTTTGAGGGAGAAAAAAAATGCAAGCCCCGTAACAGAAGGCACACCGAGCAATACCCTGAACCAATATTCAAAGCTAGGAACCCAGCCGTTTGCACACACATATACACACGTAGAAGGAATCCCTCTGGAATGGGCTCATGACAGCACAGCGTCATCAAGAGGTGTGATGCAAGCTTGTGAAGGCAGCCAGCAGGACCAACCCCACAGCCGGTTGCCACCTGCGGTGTGACGTTCCCCAAGCTCAACAGCTCACAAAAACTCATCTGTTTTCGACTCGCACAGCCCAGCGAACCTCAACGAACAAAAACATGTATACATAACAAACCTGTATACAGCAGTCTAACAACGACATCCAGTACAGAAGAAAACACACCTTCTCTGCCGTGTCGAGGAGACTCGCCAGCCTCTCGTGGTCCGCCGCAAGGGCATCCATCTGCGTGTTTAGCCCGTGGTTCTTCGCCTTGAGCTGCTGGATCTCCACGCGCAGCTCCTGGGACTGCCGCCGCCGCCGCCGCCATCGTCCACCACAGATGTTACACATGGCATGTTCATCGTGGTCGCCATCATAGTCGTTCGGGTCGGATACAGCAGTACGACAAGAGAGACAAAGCAGAAAAACAAAAACCGTCGTCCCGATCATGTGCGGCGATGGGGGGGAATAACGCCTTCGTGCCATCATGCAAAGACGCCAGGTGGGGCAGGCTGGGCGCTGGACTGACAGCAGCAGTGAAATTGGAGGTGAAAAACCAAATTCGAGCACTGCGCTGCAACCCTGAAACCATCGACAGCGAATAACGTTGTCAGCGGATGTCCTCACTACCTCGCTTACAATGAGAGCGACCGAAAACATGAAGAAAACCAGAAGAAAAAAAAACGAACGTCCGTAAACGCTAGAATCGATTCTAGTCGTGCACGGGGTGAGCGTTTTACATTCATGACACGGCACCGACCGCAAACCAACTACATACGTGGCAAACAAGGTGTTTCGTCCGCTAGCGCATCGAGCACTACCGTTAGGGGGAGCGGGGGGGGAGGGGCACTAAGCTCGGTTTGTTGTATAGCTCGCCCCACGCCTTCGATCACCACTGCTGTTCGGCTCGGCCAGGCACGACCACAACACCAAGCGGCGATGCTGTCGCACGAGAGATCCATGCCCAATCTTCATGGACATCCATCCTGACGCATGTAACACCCCGTCGAGCCCCCGCCCCCGCCTCCGCCCCCGCCTCCGCCCCCCTGACCCTGCCGGCCGGCTACAACGACGCGGTTTGCCACAATTTTTTCGAAGACGCAGCGGCGGCGTACGGTGTAAAATCACCCTACAGTCACGCTGGCGCCCCCCCCGCCCCCCTCACCCGTCAACACCCCTCTCACCTCCCCGTCCTTGCCCTTGCCGCCGATCTGCTTCTCCCCCAGCTTGAGCGACCGCGAGGCCTCCGCGGCGGCGGCGGCGGCCTGATCGGCGGCCGCCTTGGCCCTCCTCGCGTCGTTCTCGGCCTGCACACGAAGCCTCTTCTCGGCGTCTCGCTCGGACCTGCAAGCGAGAACAACAACAAAATTCAGCAGTCTTCGATTCAAGCACACCAACTATATGCAACACTCGGGGCACACGAAATACAGACACACGGCACCAAAAACACACGCGCCACTCTGACCTGTATGCGAGCATAACAGCAGTTCAGGCAGACGTCACTTCATGTGGCACACAAAAACAGAGACGCCCCGCATCCGAACCACTACTACCTGCGGCAACATGGGGACCACTGGGATGTTCACAATTGTGTTCAAATAGTCCTGATATTTCCAAATATATATTCGTACAAAAGGGCTCGGTTCAGCTCGGCGTTCGCGCGGAGCTCGAAGCCAAGTCATTCTTGAGGGGCTTCCCGCACCTGCCCCCTATGCGGTCTGTTGGACTGCCTACACGAAGAACTCAAGTTTAATTTATGGAAGAGAGAAGCAGGGGGTACGGAGACTGAAAGTCACTAACCCTACCCTAAACCCCCAACATCGTCGACTCCATATTTTATCCACCAAATGCTTGCTAACAAACAAAACTGACTGGGGCAATTTTGTTTTCTGTTTCAACCTATCTCATACTATCATAGCCTTATCTTCCACGCTATTAAAGGCAGTGAAGCGCTTTGTGATTTCAGGAACAAAAGACACACCGGAGGAGACACGGCTGCGGCGCATATGAATTAGAGCTGGTGGACAAGGTTTGGATTACCACACAGGTTTGATCGATGGTCATCGATCGTCCTTGCCGCCTTCCCCTTTTTACCGGGGCGCCGTCACAAAAGAATTGGGGGCGTGGCTTAAGGGTTGTTAACGACAAGTTACAAAATTTTCCTTACTCCCCCTCGGTGGCGCAGAAAGGAACTAGCGACTATGGGATAAACAAGCCCACCCAGAAACAACTCCCCGCCTCTCCCCTGGTGCTACAGTACCCACCTGAGCTCGTCGGCGGCATGGGCCGCTTTCTCTTGATCTGTTTCGATGACGACAACAAAAATTGCGGGGGGAGACATCGGATGACACGTCAAACCGAACACCAAGGCGGCCAGGGCAAGGCAAGGCATGGGGGGTTACTTACTTGACGGGTAAACAAGATGGGGGGGGGGGGATCCCAGAACAATCTCTTGATTCTTGTTTCAGAGCTTTCATGCTCGAACAAAAACCAATCCTACGCGCTGTTTTCGGTCCTGAAGCGTCTGTTGTCCGGTTTGCTTGAACTCCACGTGCAGAGGGTACAAACAAAAAGACAAGAAAAATACTGACGCCGTGACAAGCAAATCTTGCAGTACCGCTCACGACAACGTGCATCCGCGCCCCCCCATCTACAAGCCGGCACGGCACTACTACAGTCTACAGTCCAACTGAGGCCAGAGTTGAAACAATCGTATGGCCGCCAAAAAAAGTTTTCTGCTGACGCGGTGGCGCCCAAACCCAAAACCAGCGAGCCAAGGGCACCTTGACCAGTAGCCTTCGCGACTATATCAAAGTTTGGTTTTTATTAAAGCTTGGTTATAGTAGGGGGGTACGGGGTGGGTAAAGGGGGGTGGGGTTAAGGATGCAACCCCCGCCCTGTCTATTTCATAGGTTAATAAACAACAAAAAAATCGCGAGGCGGTCCACCTTGACTCCACAATTACTAGGTCCTAGGTCCCCAACAACAACAAAAGCAACCAGATCTGCCAATAAAAACGAGACGAAACTGAAAGAAACCGCTTCTCGTACCGTCGAGGGCCCGGTCCAGCTCATCCTCCAGGTCCTCCACGCGGTCCTCCGCGTACTTCTTATCCTTAAGCCACTTGTCCCACTTCTCGGGGGTGAAGTCCGGGACCTTCGTCATGTCGCTTCGTTTCTTGTGCTACTTAAAAAAAAAAACACCACAGGTGCGCAACCCCGCCCCACCCCACAGCGCGCGCCGGTCCCCCCGACGACGACGCCAAAACAAGCCCCCGGCCACCCTTGTCGCGCGCAAAGAAGGCCAGGAATAAATACCACCGACGGGCTCGGTGCGTATGAGGACGAGCAACACAGCGGCGAAAGGACGAGCTGGTCCGGGGTGTGGACTCGCAGGCGGAGATTGTTAAGAGGGAACCGTGGACTCCGCCGCCTGTAGATAACGCCGCCGTCGTGTAGGAGCTCCTGTTCCCCGCAGCTGTTGCTACCAGTCTTCTGTGTCCGTCGAGCAAATTCTGGCAAGACAAAAGCCGCGTTGTGCGTGCAGGACAAGCGGGTGCACCGCGACAGAAGATCGAAAAAATAAAGGCGGGGTGGGAGGGAAGGGGAGCGGGGCGCCAAGGGCAGGCGCAGTAGCAACGATTGGGCTTTTTAGAAGTTGCGTGCTTTCCTTTCTGCCCTGTGCAGGGCCGTCCCATGTATGCACGCGAAAATATCGGCTATAATAATTCGGAAAGCCAGGTCCGGGAGGGAACCAGCGAAAGGGCTAAGACACAAGCAGCTACAAGATTAGCGTTGGCCGCTGAAAAGCAGCAGTTGTAGAGATATTTAATACGACGGCGCTCATAAGCCATACCCGTTGCCACAAGTGGCCAAAAAAGTGGTGATTGACGATTCAGCAATGTAAATAGTAGAACCGAGTTATCACTTCTCACTTCTCACTGCAAGTCCCCTCCCTTCTCACTGCTGCGAAAACTCATCAACGAAATAGACTACTCGTTTTCCACCCGAGAATTAAATAGATAAGTACTCGCTTTCCACCGAATAATTACAGCAGTGCGGACGAGAGAGAGATTCGAGCCCACAACCCGACTGTACTGCTGTACCCACCACACCTACTTAGGCCAGCCAGATGGGCGACCGGACGAGATCAAGTGGAATGTCGGCTTGCCTACAGGACATACCTCAGTGCCTCTTCTTACCCTCGAGCAACACACTTCTGCTGTCAGTAGTGGTAAACATCTCCCAAATAGTAGCGTTTCACAACAGGCTCGTTCGTTGCACCATCACGCAAACGTGACTTCACTTGGCAACAACTAACGGTTGCATCGAGAACCTGAACCGACGAGACGTTTTCTGGAAACATTTTGAGCCAATTCGCTGAACATGTGCGAAAGCGTGTGCCTTGTACATCTACACAACACCGTGTGGTAATGCCTCTACCTCTGTTTGGCATGCTGCCATTGTTGTAGTTCTCGAGTAAGGGTATAGTGGGAGATAAACAGCTCTTGGTAGCAGGTAGCACGCGATGCACACCATCTTACAGCTGCATGTGTATACCCGCACGGGCAGAACAGCGGGGAGGACCGCGAACTTTCGATGAAAACGCACGTGCTGTAAATAAGTAACAATAGCGTTCGTTGTCTTGGCATTCAGGCCAGACGACCCGAAACAGTCAAACGGCGGTGGTCGCGCAGTAACCGCTATGGCAGCAGCACACACCCCTCTGCTAGGCATGCTTGCCATGTACACGAGTTCCCAGATAATCAGACGGCCCTCTCAAGGTGTAGGGGGAGAGAGAGAATGGAATGGCTTCACGGGAGCCGAACGACCGATGCTAACGGCAGGGAGAGAGAGAGAGACACCCCGAAAGGAACATCCAACACCAACAACACTGCACCCTTAACCTCGACGCTACCTTCCAGATTCGGGTAATTTACTGCCAAGGTAGGAAATGCGGATGAGTACGGCATGGTATCGCAGCAGCGGGAGTCTCTCCTCCCTACAAGGGCTTTCCTTCTTTCCCATCAACGGATGACAGCAGACGGAGATTTTGATGGCGGTGTTCTTTTCTCTGCTGGAAAAGGCAAAATACCGTCGCGCGGACCTCACTCAATGTTTCGGCACATCCCGCTCACACAAGAACGAAATTGTGACGATGGATGTGAGGCAGAGGGGCAAGGTGAGCGAAACACCCGGGGCCCATCGTGAGGGGTGTGGCACACGGATAGTTCTCCTCGGCGTCTTTCGGGGCAACACTGCCTGCTGTGCAAAACCTGTAGTCCGCTGCTGTTTGGGAACATCTTTTGCGGAGAACGACACACATCACGTCTCTCGCTTCATGTCTTGGAACGACTGATACACCGTGTGGAGAACACAGATCAGGATGGGATTTCTGCCAAGCGTGCATCTTCTTCCTCGACCTCATCTCTAAAATCAGTAGATGGTGCACTCACCTTGCGACGACGGTACGCTCGATCGGCCAAGTGGACAAAGAGAGGGACTGCAGCAATGCGTCTGTCGGCAGCAGGAGGTAGCAGGGAGCAGGCGGACGTGTGCAGAGCTCATCTTCGGTTGCGGGGGGTTATGTTTCCCTCGGAGGCGTTTTGGGGATGGCGCGACCGCAAGAAGAGGCGGAGCACAGGAGAGAGCAGGGGGCCCCAGAGACCGAGCAAGTCATCAGGCGGCAAAAGGATATCGCAACAGCAGTTTATGCGAGGACGAGCGTGCTCACGCGTAGCGAAAGAAGGAAGAGGGCGTCAGGGCAGAGGTTAGAGTCGTGTTGAGTGGAGACGGGGAACCGCGCACAACAAAACAGAGAGCTACGATTTTTTCCAACATCTGGCGCGCGATTACGCACACCACATCTGGAGCGATGCCAGAAGTGGGGGTCGCGGCGACAGCGCTAACCGATGCTGCTGCCGCCGCCAACACCACCGACAGCGCCACCTATCCAGCGGAAGCAGGCTGCAACGACGACAAGCAAGGGAGCTCTTTGCCAACGGACTCCGAGATGAATAGCCCCACCAGGGACCCCATGTCTGAAGAAGAGGGGCAGCAGGGAGGACAACAACAACAACGGCGCCATGGCGGAGACGATGATGACAGGGGGCAGGAGAAGGGCGGTTCAAACGAGGAGGTAAGTCGCGGAGTTCTTGAGCAGTGTCGTTGTCCTGGCCTACATCTCGCAGAGCGCAACAATACCTCTGCTTTGTGTTTCGAACATTCATCAGACGGACCGTTCGTTGTGTGCATACATACGCTCAAAGGAACACACAGCAGTGCTGGGTGCACACAGATACTTGTACAATCAGTGGGCCGCTCTCCCATAACCCCGCTGCCGTAGTGGTCTATCGGATGAAGCCTCTGGTTTTGTGCGTAACCTGGCAAACGCTTGGTGAACCGTAAGGAGCGACGTTCGCGGTGAATTAGTGGCAGTTTCATTCCCAGCGCTTAACCCCCTGGTCTCTTCATCTTACAGCAGGCGTCTCTCTGCCTGAGGACGTTGCTCTCCCCGAGCGACATCGTCTCGCTCTTGCTCACGGCGCGACCATGAACCACCACGGCGCCTCCGCAGCCTGCGCCTGCACTGCTGCTGTGCAGGCTTGGCCGCGCCAGCTGAGCGAAGCTACAACGCGGGGGCTGGCTGCCCGCGCTACTGCTGTACACGGCTTGCCTCTGCAGTGTGGTTATCACGCGTGCACGGATGCCACCAAGCGTGCTGCAAACACGCTGCTGCTGCTGCTGTTGGCGTCGCTTCCTCTGTTCCTCTCGCCTACAATACATATGTACACAAGTCTGTTTCATACGTGACATGACATCTACACGTGACAACTGCACACACGCGCCATCAGCAGTAGCATTTACCGAGAGCACTGATGGACTTTTCACACAGAAAAACGGCTTTGCTGATTTGTTTGTGTAGTCGTACTTGTGCATGATATGTTTTCCCGTTGATTCCATTTGCCACGTTTTTTCAAATAACGGTCTTGCACATACACCTGACTCACCGGCTATATCCCGGTTACACACCACAGCAGCAGAACGGCGACCCCACCCCCCTTTTTCTTTGTAAGAAGAGCTCACCAATTCTGCCCTCCGTGTGCACGCGCTTTTTGTGCTAAATATTCTGCTACAATGCAGAACGGAGAAAATATTCATTTTGAAAGAATTCTCAACACATCCCCTCGGCTTCTGTGAATAAAGCCAGCCCAAGTACTATGCATATGTTTTCTGAAAAAGAACGAGAAGGATATTCACCGATACAAGTACTCACCCCCTTTCGAGCCGTTTTCGAGGTTTCCAACGTGACGACTGGGCGGCCTATCTGGTCGCTGCAGATACTGCTGTGTGTTCTTGTGCTTGGGGGGTTTCTCTGAGTCAAAAACGCCCCATTTTGCCTGCCTCGGAAATAGTATGACATTTGCGAAGTGGATGAGGCATCGGTGCGGCGTCGATCGACACCAGGCATGTTTCTTTGGTTTGACAAAGTTTAGGGTTCAGCAGGCTGGCCAACAATTAGACATCAATCTTAGAGCGGGGCAAGCAACCTCTAAATCGTGTCGTTCGAGTCCGCCGGCCCCAATTGGTCTGTGCTTCGTTATATGTCGTCGACCGCGCCAACCGGATGGCCAACGAAAATATGTGTTGTGTTACGGCGAGATGAAGAACGCAAAATCGCTCTCAATGTACTCATTGGAGTCCTCTGGCAGGGGGAATGGTGCATAGGAGTGTTTGGGTGGCATGGCCCGGCCTCCCGATTCGAAGTACAGCGAGAGAAAACTCAACACCACCACGAGTGGGCCGCTCTCTGTCGGACCTCCCTCTGCTCCATTGGGGCTTGCCTGTAGTATGTCCGTCCCTGCGCTTCTTGCTTGTTCTCTCTCTTTCTCTATCTGTCTATCTCTCTCTCTACCTATCCATCTATCTATCCATGTTGTCTGTGTGGGTGTGTGTTTTGATATTAGCATCGACCGCTAACCGGTGACCAATGAGAAGACGTCAGTCTCAGTGCGGTTGAAAACACAACACGCTTCTATTGGTCATGATCTGGGAGCGTGTATGCGTGTGCTTGCGATGGACTTTGAGACTAGTCAGGCATTACCGTTCTTCTCAAACTCCTGCCGAGAGGTGGCGGTTACCGTTGTGCCACCACAAGCAAATTTCAGACACCCTACGAGCATATCTTCTGGCAAGAACCTGGGCTGCCGCCAAGGACGCCGCACCAAATTACAACTGCTGAGCTTGGTAAAGCACGCTGTTTTTCTGTTTTCGTGTGCGTGCGAGGGACAGTGTCTTCCCGTCCGTCTGCACACGGTTTAATCCCCCACCCCCGGCGCCCACGATTTCTGTCAGTAGTCGTCGGGCTTGTGTGTACGGGGGGCATCGTTCACGACCTGAAGTGGTCCGTGCACCTTTGGACGATTTTACAGTCCATTCGTCTCGTTTGCAAGATTGTCGCGACAATTGGCGAGTTCGGTGTTCTTCACGTGTGATGGTAACACAACCGCGATTCCCCCCCGCCCACACGTTCGGACTGATGTCGCGCTCAAACCAGAAGGCAGAAAAATTGACGGCCGGGCCGAAAGAAGCGGCAGCGGGACCGAAAGAAGCGACGGAGGAACCGAATAAAGCGACTGAGGAACCGAAAGATGCGGCTGCGGGATCGAAAGAAGCGACTGAGGAACCGAAAGATGCGGCTGAGGAACCGAAAGATGCGACTGAGGAACCGAAAGATGCGGCTGAGGGATCGAAAGATGCGACTGAGGGATCGAAAGATGCGGCTGAGGGATCGAAAGATGCGACTGAGGGATCGAAAGATGCGGCTGAAGGATCGAAAGAAGTGATGGAGGGACCGAAAGAAGCAACTGAGGGACCGCAAGATGCGGCTGAGGGATCGACGGAAGCTACCGAGGGACCGCAAGAAGCGACGGAGGGATCGAAAGAAGGTGCCGAGGGATTGAAAGAAGCGACGGAGGGATCCAAACAAGCGTCTGAGGGACCGAAAGAAGCGAGTGGGGGATCCACAGGGATGGAGGAACCGAAAGAGGCGACTGAGGGACCGAAAGAAGGCGCCGAGGGACCGAAAGAAGGGGCCGAGGGATCGAAAGAAGCGACGGAGGGACCAAAAGAAGCGACGGAGGGGTCGAAAGAAGCGACTGAAGGATCGAAAGAAGCGACTGAGGACCCTAAAGAAGCGACTGCAGGAACGACCGCGCCAGGAACGGAGATGGAAATTGACGACCCACCTGCCGCTACCCCTGCCCAATCAAAGAAACGCCGTCGAGAAGACGGGCCAGAAGAAGACCCTAGCGCAGGGGCAGTTGAGAAGGCCTCAGGTGTGTCTTCAGGAATATTTCGGCTTTAAGACGTACAATAGCACAGAGATGAGCCTTCGGGAGGGTGGGGTATGGGCGCTCTCTCCTGCGACTGAGAGGCTGGGATGTCAAAGTGTACATTCGTCGCGCAAGTTTGTAAATGTTAATGTTGCACTAGAACGCCTGCACTAAAACCTATTCATCGGTTCTTTTATCGTTCTCGCTAAGGCTGTATCGTGCATGTAAGCCTCTCCTTACCCGACTTGCCGCACGATCAATTTTTGCCGTCCGCACCAGGAGAGAGCGACGCTAGCATGGTGATTGAGGCCGGCGGCGCCGGGGCTCAAGAAAGCGAGCGGGACTCGCGGCGGCCAGGCCCGGACACGCCCAAGCCACTGGAGGACCCGAAGGTGGGCGAGGTCGTGTCGCAAGACCTGGCCACCCAGGAGATAAAGCGTGTCAGGAGAACCGAGAGCAGCCCTTCCCCGCCGGCAGCGGCAGCGGCGGCGGCGGCAGCGGCGGGGGTCGATGGAGTGCCCGAGAACGGTGTGACACCGGCCGAACAGCAGCAGCAGCAGCAGCAGCAGCAGCAGCCGCGACCGAACGGCGGCGGCAAGGCCGAAGGCGAGGAGAAGAGCGGGCTGGGGGAAACGGGAAAAGAAGGGGCATCAGCAGGCGGCAGCGAGCCGCAGATAGCGGGAAGCAAGGGCGATGGACAAGGCAAAGAAGATCCCCCCCCGAAAGCCGGCGGCAGCGGTGGTGCCGCCGGGGAATCATCAGGAGGGGGTGAGGGGGTCGGGGCCGAGGGTGGATCTACAAAGCCGAACGGCGTGGCGGCAGCGGGTGCGGCATCGTCGTCGCCATCCAAGGCTGCCGGTGCCATGCCGCCGCCCCTGCCGAAAACGTCCGCGGTCGATCTGCCTTCTTCTTCCTCCTCTTCGTCTCCTTCAGCGGGAGCAGGAGAATCGCCTTCCTCCACCAGCGACAGAAAAACAGCGGTCCAGGCGCGCAGCAGCGAAGGAGCGAGGCCGGGACCCGAAGCTGGGAAGGAGACCAAGAGGCAGGCTGCGGAGGGAGAAGACAAGGGAAAGGGGAAGGGCGCGGAGGAAGGGGCGGGAGAAGAGAAACGCACCACCAGCCCGTGTCCGGACCACGCGCTGCCGGTGGCCCGGACGTTCTTTGACTTTGAGGCCGTGAGCGGCTTGGAGATGAGGATGCTCCCGGAATTTTTCACCGGCCGGAGTGCGTCCAAGACGCCGGAGGTGAGCAGCCGGGTCGGCCTCACGAGTGTAACGCAGGACAGGACAGAGGGGGGAAGAATGGGCTCCCGAGAGAGTGCTCGTGTTCTTGTCGGTACTGCTGTACTACGTTGCTACGACGTTTTTTTTCTCTTTTTTTTGTGAAGGGGAGACGCGAGTGGTTGGTACATTGGCGCGGCGGTGTGTAGCGCCTCATTATTCGAGAGGGTGTCGACGGGCCGACCGGCCTTGTCTCACTTGTGTCGGTTGTTCGATGGCCTGGGGTTTGTGGGACAAAGTCACTGCATGCGTGTGTTAACGCATTTTCCCGTTTCCGCTACGTGATGTTTGTGCGTGACCCAACACACACTGCCGCCTCGCGCTGCTGATGCTGAAAACTTTCTATCCGCAACGCGCTCCTTACACAGATGTACATGCAGTCTCGGAACTACATGGTGCGGTCGTACCAACGCATGCTGGAGGTCGACCCGGATGGGCAGGCGTTTCTGATGGGGACGGAGTGCCGGCGAAAGCTGGCCGGTGATGCTTGCTCCATCTTACGGTGCGTGGTGGGCACAGCATAGTCGCAAAGCCGGAGATGGGGGGCAAACCTGTCCTGGGCGACGATGTGCTCTTTGCTCGCGATTGACTCGTGCCAACCGCGTGGATGCGTGCGCGGTGCACGGGTTGTTGGGTCGAACCCCATACACGTACGAACGACATCAAGTAGACATCCACCAGCACGAAAATTGTGTGCGACGTCTCTTTGCGGGGGTTAGTTTTCACACCAACATTCATAGCTTGTGTAAGCACGAATTCCGATTGTTTGGGAGGGGGGGGGGGGGGGGGGGGGGACTCCTTTTTTTTCCTTGCCTTAACGGTTAAAATTTTTACCCCCCCCCCCCCCCCCCCCCCCCCCAAAAGAAGGA